TAAAATACATAAGTCTCGCTTCTTTGTATAGAGATAGTAACATTTCCAGTGCATCTGTGATTGAAATAGCACGATCTAGTATATTTAAACCTCAATGGACAACCTTCTATTAATGATGAATCAATGTGCGATTGCAACTGGCTGTCCAGATATGCGAAATTATTTTCACGAAGGCTGTGAACGGATAACCGATAAATCAATCAAAAAAACTGCACAGTTAAATTGAAACCTGAAAAAGCTTATTCTCACTTCCTGTTACAAAATTACAGATGATGCTGTATGTAATGTAGTTCGTTCATGTTCAAACATTCAGAATCTTAGTTTTCAATATATTTATATCACTGATAAAAACGATATATGAAATTGCACATTTCCTATTTTGCTTCAAAGGCGGGATTATATTACTTATTGTCGAAAAATAGCCACGTCTAGCGCAACGGAGGCTTCTACTTCTCTTAGTGGTTTGGTGAAGGATGTCAATTATTACCGCCAGCTTTGGTGGAAGACCGGTAACATTCACCCCAAAGCTATGTGGAATGAGGCGACGTAAGTCTCCTATTTGCTTCGACGACTCGATATTTTATAAGCTAGTGGCTGATACCAGCTGTTATTTATCGTCAAGCTTACCATACGAACTCAAGACTGGTGTGTCGCTTGATGAGTATATTTTGAAGACAGATAAATATAAAGTGAAGGGTCTTTGGGAGTGGGAAAATGGAACCGTTCGTGTTATCGAACTTCCTTCAATATTTCACGAGACTTGCGTCGCTACCATAATGAAGTTTTTGGGCGCATCAGTTCTTCCTGTAGCGAGCACTAATTCTGATCTTATTTTCTTTGGTGCGACGAGTGAGTGTTTTGTTGCTTTTTTTGCTACTGTATTCTAGGTATGCTTCTATTACTCACCATCTTTGAATAATAGCAACAAAAACACCACAAAGAGGCAGTGAAGCAGATGGGTCTATTACACCTGTAGGAAAACTTCAAGTGCCCAGTGGTGGATCTGATGGAGGGGTATGAAGAGTTTATCTCATTCGCTTTCTCATGTGATTATGTTGAGAATTCTAATGTTGGTGATGACATGTACTCTTAGAATAAACCCTGGCCCAATCTTGTAATAGAGGTCGCTTATGCCGTAAATGAGGCGGAACTTAAGAAGAAGATAGAGACATACTGGCTCGCTCCTAATAGAGCTCACGATGCAATTGGCATTAACTTCAACTATATACCAGGCATGCGCCCAACGGAGATGACGGTAAGTAATCGCAAGATTTAATTTCTGGAATTTGCCATTGGCATCATTTAAATGATATTCGTTCTTTAACAGGCTTGGCATTATTGTATAAATAATCGAACAGCCGTTGGTGCACTCGCTCCCATCATGGTACGTTATATTATTACGTGCTTTTTTACCACAGAATTGAACGAATCTAATGTGTTCTCTATTCAGTATGAATTCGGCACGATTGATCGTCAAGGAAATCCCCTCAACATTGTACCGGGACAATGCGTGATCAATATCCCATTGAGATGCCTTTATGATGGGATGCCACCTACCTTCGTGATTCCCTCACCCCCTCTACCTGACCCTATTTCCCTCGATCTCTTTCATGTTCGGTGGGCTGTTTTAAATTGTTAATTTGAGGCCATACTGTACGACTCCTATTCTCTTATCCCGTGGCCCTGCTTTTTTATAGTTCTTGGATCACCTTGTCACATTTCTACATAAACATACAGAATTATGGACGAGACTATTTTCATGCAGTTTCACTAGATCCAAACATTTTATTGACCCAAAAAATTAAATGATAGATTTTAATGACCTTTAATCTCACTTGTTCGGAAGGCGCTCATTATTTATCAATCCCAAAAGAGCTTGGGATGGTGCTCTCGCCTTTGAATTGGTGCCACGTGATAGATGATTATTTTTATTTTTTCCAGTTCGTGTTGCACAGTCCGATATGTCTTAGTCATCTGGTACCACATCATAGTTCAATAAACTTTTGAACATATCTGCATTTTGTATAAAGTAATGTCAGACACTCAATCCAAAATCGATTCATTGTAAGAATTAAATTCTCAACTCATTGCCACGATAGAAAGGAGAATGCCGAGATCAAAGCCGAGAATACAAAATTAAAACAAGATAAAGAAGAAATCGAGGTCAGGTTTGTAAAACTAGAGCAGAAGAACAAAGAAAAGTCGATCCTTATTACTAAATTGCAACACGATGTCTCATTAATCAAGGAACAGAGCATGCAAGATAAGAACATGGAATGCCATCAAACTGCCATTGATACACTTTCTACGAAAGACGTTTC